GATACGTGTCCGTGTGATATACGGATCTACTGCATCACTGGGCATCAAACGAAAAGTGTTTATCATCCATTTCCTTTCCAAAAAAAAAAAAGAAGCACAACTTTTGTCATTTTATTAAAAGTTTTTTTGTTATTTTTTAATCTTCAGGTTTTTCCACTGCTGGAGTTAACGATGTTTACTTTTTTGCATTAACCGTTTCACCGTTATCCGTGGCAGCAGGTCATCGCCGTGCGCGTGCACCGGCAGCACCAGCAGTTCTCCGGTGCACGGTGCATTACCAGAAGAGCAAAGAGTGCGCTTGCAGTCTCTTGCTTTCACCGAAGTTTGAAGCGGTTCTATCCTGCAGAGCCTTTTCCGAGGGCTCCTTTGCTCCCAGAGACTCTCCCGCTTTCACACAAAACACATGTCACAGATTCATTCACTCACAGAGAGCGAGAAAGGGGGAGAGAGAGACTGAGAGAGAGAGAGAGAGCTGCTCAGAAATCATCTGTGAACTGCAATCCTACAACAAACACTTATTTCCACATTTTCTCCAAGTTGCCACCAAACTATTAAACTTCAAATCGACTGTTTGTCCTTATTTCACATCTACACATTTTGCCATTCTTGAGCGACCTCGTGCAATGAGAAGAGTGGCAGGCAAATGTTTTACAGTTGAGAGATTCCACATAAAAACCTCCTGACAGCTTTTATCGGGACCATGTATTTAAAGATCTCAAAGATCAATGCAAAGTGCTGACCCTACAACGCGCCATGTTTCTGTCAACACTACCCATAACTTCGTTTCCCGAACAAGCAGCCAAAGACAAATATAATTTGGAGTGTATTAGTCCAGCTTTGGGGAAACAATTGTTTTCTTTTCCTTCTTCCTTTTTTTTTTCCTCTAAAGGAAACACTTATTGTATTGAGGCTGGTTTTGTTCTTTTCATGTATGGTTTCTATTGTTATTCTATAGAAGTTACAGTCTAGTGATTCCCAATCCGCGCAGGAATTTAACCCTGAAATGCCAGCAGCAGCAGCAACAGCATAATGGCCTGTCTCTACTCCTAGTATCGCCTCTCCGGGCTCTGGCGGCAGGAGCCCAACTGGCCGGGCCAGAAAACCTGCTAGCCCCGGTTCCCCCTAACTTCCTTGCGACTTTGGCCTGGACATTATATCGCAGAGTGCCATTACTCAGGGAAACGTCGCGTCAAATACGTCACACTGCACTTAAAAGTTGGAGACTCGGAGTTTTAGTAGGGTTTCTATTTTCATTCCCTTTGGTAACAGCATGGTGTTAAATTGTTAGTAGTTTTATTGGTTTTCCCCCAGTTATTCTATCACACCCAGGACTCACGAATGTTGTAAGAAATGCAGACTGTCTGCGCTCACAGGAAATTCATGCTACTGCAAACTACTGATG